CTGCACATAAACGACTGTTGACGGGGATCCAATCGATTAGAGAGGACTCCGCTCTATTACGCAGTACAATACCTACCCCACACTGACCTACTAAACGAGCTCCATTGTCGCTTGATGTGCGAAGAACGTATCTCGTCGACAAATCTGGCGCGCTAAAGTGGCTTAGAGTAGTAGGATCCCGGATCCGAATTTCCAACACGCAGCAAATATCGATTCCTAAGGATTCCATTGTACGAGCCNTCCTCACGTTGAAGACCCCCAGGTTCAGTGATTGACGAGGCTTTAGAATCTGCAATCCATTCCGTGGTAAATCAATCACAGTTCTATTTGAGAATGACCTTTGGCGAGCGACCTCCAAGTTGCTTGAGGGACTATTACAGGTCGGTAGAAGGGGTAAAGGGAGAGGGTTGGAAACGGAAGACAAAGAGTTAAACAAAGGTTGGGATATCTGAGTGTGTTGGAAATAGTGTTGGAAGCCACAAGATCAGCCAACAACATCCATCTAGAGGCATGATTGCCTGGGGCCACATCGTCCTGTGCAGACTAAACTGAACCGAACTAAACCGAACAGTACCCATCGAAACGGATTGGTGACTCGGTGACAGTAAGTTTTAAGTTCAAATAGCGGTTACAGTATCCTTTCTGAGAATAGCTTCAATTACTAAGAATAACCTAATTTTCCCTTATTCAATCGCCCTCTTCACTTTAATAGTTATATTGATCATATCAAGTCAGGTTGCACAGGACTGATAGTAGTCACGTCCAATCGAGGGTCCAGTGCGCCCACTCACCACTGCAAATTGCCTCCAGTATAACGTCCTCGCCAAAGAGGAAGGAGAAAAGCTCGTCTCCTTTCAAATCATCGGCGAACAAGGGATATGGGTCATGAAGGCGTTCCATAGTACATTAAAAATCCTATTCTGAAAAGAGCTCCAGCCATCGCTCATCCAGAGCTTATCTAAATGCAATCACGCATCCTAAATCTAGTAATTCCTTTGGCAACCGGTTCCAACTGTTCACTACTCTGTTACTGAAGAAGCTGGATCTAACAACCAGGTTGCACCGCTGTTTATGTATTTTGTGTCCATTCCCTCTAGTTCCTTGGTGAGTAGCCTCCTTTTCTGATTCTCGAGAGCCCTTTCTCAATCTTAAAGATCTCCCCTTAGTCGCCCCCTTTCTAACGAGAAGAGTCCCAAGTCTTTTAGCCTGTCTTGGTATGACTTACCCTTTTGACCTATCATTCTAGTCTTTGGACTTTCCCTTAACAAGCTGCATCCTTTTTGAAGAAGGGTGTCCAAACCTGCATGCAGTATTTCAAGTGCGGCCTAACTATGGCTTTGTACAGGGAGAGGAATACATCGGGCTTCCTACATGATAGCCTGAACAGCCCTCTCCTCACCCTCGCCGCAGCCAAGGCACACTGGTTCTCCCAGCGGAAATCTGCCGCCACCGATATTCCTAAGTCTCTGCTGGTTCTTACAATCCGTACGATGAAATCCCCTCCACCTAGTTGGATTGACAATTGTTCATCAGCAGGGGGAAGTAAATTGCTTTTCTTTGCATTCAGTGGTAAGTCCCATACTGTTGCCCGTTCGGTTGCTCTACGCAGGTCATCCTGCAATTCCTGCCGACTCACCGATCCCACTATCTTGACATGATTTGCAAAGATGAAGTATGGCGAACGTAGGATGGCAGCCAAGTCGTCTATAAAAAATGAGTAATGAACCGAGCACCGAGCCCTGTGGTACTCCACTAGTGGGTATCACTTCACCGGTACTTTGTCCCCCATCCGCACGTAAAACGTGCGACCAGTCTTCTGGTGTTTCCAAATCTGCTTCCAACTTCACCGACATTGTTCTTCAAGGTATGCATCTTTTTATTTCGCACTTCTCCCAACCCGGCAAATCCAAATCCCTTGTGGTCTAGCCATGCATGTGGCCGTGCTGTACGCCTGAAACGCTCAGCCTTCCGTCGCTTGCGCCTCTCGTTCAGCTAGGAACAGATGCTCGATGACCGTTCAGAGAAGCAAAGAACGCTTCGTTCGCCGTAAATCCGAAACTTGGTCTCGTCCACCACCGGTAGCCGGACATCATATATATATATTATATATTTCACACGCCTGAGTTTAGAATGTGCGCTAAACAAATCGCGGTACAATAATCTTTGTGAAAGGAATAACGTACCACAATTTGCATGTATGCCGAATACTGCCAGGTTGCCCAGGCCAAGGCAGGTGAATTTTCTTGAGGAATTCCCAACCGGAGCCTTCGGCTATCTAAAGCCTGACCCACAAGNCAAACGTCCAAGGTGCCCAATACACCTCGATGCCCAATTGAGCCGGTGACTGTTGCCACAACCGAAAAGGTGTGGGTTTGGTTCATACGCCCCTTCATGGTTGGTTTGGAATCAGGGTTTTTGGTCAACTCCCCTAGGTAACCTATCAGTGGTCCACTTACTCGATTATAGCCCCGGATGTCAGCTTTTTATCCTCTCACTTTGGTGGAAAAACACCTCTGCCACGAGAAGGCAGTGGGTAGGACTTCCTCAGCAATTTCCCGTAATTTCTGCCCTTCCAACTTCCCCCCTATTTGTTGGTCCTCTGGCGATCTTGTATGTCAACCAAACGAAAACGCTGAGGTTTTTTCTCAGTTCGCCGTCAATTTCACCTTACCCCATTTTTCTACACCTTCCTCCATCACCGGCAACCCTTTTATATCTCAGCAGCACTAGGAAAATCCATCAAACATGGCGCTCTCTAAACGCAAACAAACCACTCGGTCCGGACGTTATTCCACCCATTGTCCTCAAAATGTGTGCTCCTGAGCTAGTTTCTATTTTACGTCGTCTTTTCAGTCTTTGCCTCCAACTTTCCTCCTTTCCAATCCGTTGGAAAGGCCGTGATTTTTCCCATTCCCAAACGCGGTGACGTTTCTTACCCCAACAATTACTGACCCATTTCCCTATCGGCTATACTTTCAAAAGTATTTGAAACTATCATCTCTGACCAGCTATGCACGTTCCTTGAACGTGAAAGACTACTGAGCGACCGCCAGTATGGATATCAATAGCGTCGCTCCACCGATGACCTTCTGGCTCTTGTCTCAATCCTGGTCAGCTCCACGCGATAACTACGGAGGAACACACTTGGTCTCGCTTGACATCTCAAAGGCCTTCAACCAAATTTGGCACGAAAGTCTACTGGCGAAACTACCCATGTTCGGGTTCCCTCCTGCGCTCGTAACGTGAATATCAAGTTTCCTCAGTAAGCGAACCATCTCAGTTCGAGTTGATGGGGTTCTATTTCAACCGTTCCCTGTGAACACTGGTTTTCCCCAAGGTTCAGTACTCGCGCCTACTCTCTTCCTTCTCTTTATCAATGATCTCCTTTCCCAAACTGCCAACTCGGTTCATTCTTTTTCTGATGACGCCACCCTCCACAGCTCGCCATGCCCAAACCAACGTCGATGATGACCGTAGTGCAGTTCATGTGTCACTGGACTCGGATGTCGAACACATCTCCCCTGGGAGCATGGCAAACCATGTTTCGTTCAATAGTTCTAAAACTCTCCTTTCAATTTTTTTTAAAACGCCATTCATTCTCCCCCATTTATTTTTTAATTCCACTCAACTGCGTTCCAAAGACTCTGTTTCCCTTCTTGGATTGCCTATAACTTCTTTATGCTAGTCCTCTTTTATAGCTAGGCTTGCTTCTCGTGCTGCGCTCAAGGTTGGATTGCTAGTTCGCGCCAGACGTTTTTTCACCCCAGCTCATCTTCTATTGTACAAATCTCAAATCCGCCCTGCTCTTGAATACAGTGTAGGGTGGGACGTCGTCCTCTTCCTTTTCCCTTGATCGTGTTCAACGAAAGGCCATCCGGCTAATCGATGATCCTTCCCTAACGTCCAGTCTGCAGTCGCTAGCCCATCGTCGGGCAGTTGCTTCATTGTCCGTGTTCTACCGCTGCTACTTCGGTTTTTGCTCTTCGGAACCTGCCTCGGCAGTTCCTCTTCCCGCAACTTTTAACCGCCCATCCCGTACACAGGCATCTAGTCATCCTTATCGGGTTGCTGTTCCCAGACATTTTACCGCTCTGCTGCAGTCTTCTTTCCCCCGAACTGCCAAACTGTGGAACACTTGCTGTTTTTCCCCTAGCTTACAATCTTACACTTCTTAAACGCAGAATAAATAAACTGGATCTTACGTGAATGTTCCCATACTCTCCCCTTTACAGTATGCTATTTGCCCATGGGGATTTTCCCCTTTTACTTATTCACATTGGGTAATAAAAAAGTGGTCCTTTCTGTACTTCACCCGTTAGTTTCTTGTCAAGATTCAAGGCTCTGATTGAGAACCCAAACCGTTCTGCTTAGTGTTTGGTCTCCTTAGTAGTTAACGACCATCAAACTCCGATGAAAACACCAATGAAAGAATTTTATCGTTTGATAACTCGTTCTTTTTTTTTAGCAAACTCTTCTCGAAGACCCTTAATCTAATGACTAATTCCAAGGTAACTAACAGATGCATTTATGTTTGTATAATGCCATAATCGTTCTTATATAGAATCGGTCTTGGTCGTTCGCCTCCAACCCGTATTACCAAACATTCTTGAAAACGTTCACACCAGAGTCAGTGTTTGATGATAAAAATGAATTCCTGGATATCGTTTACTGGCTTCGGCAAGTACTTGCCATCCTTACTGGAATATTGTGGGGCCTAATTCCTCTGAAAGGTCTGACTGCAATCCTGCTATTCTTTCTTATGAATATGGGAGCCATCTACATTTACGCAGCACTTTTTCAACGTGTCGATGAAGAAGAATATGGTGGTTTTGGTGAAATCGTCAAAGAAGGATTAATGACTGCATTCTCCTGCTTCATGGTTTCGTGGATAGTACTTTTTGACTACATGCACACAGGGAACACGTGATCAGTTTCTCTCGATCTCTGATCTACCGGATATCTTTCTATCGATTATGTATTTGTCTACTTTTATGTTTTCTAGACCAATGAATGAATACATTTGGGCCAAACGTTTCTTTCTTTTTTATCCTCTACAAGCGATGTGTTTCAGTGTTTGAACAGTGAAGAATCGACCGTTGTTGAAAATAATTCATCCGACTGGAACGCTTGCTGATCATCACCCATCGAACTAAACCAATGGTAGTTGTAGTGCTCATTTGGAACCTACTGGTGTGGCTAGTTGAAATGATCTAGTTATACGCATTTAACTCAGTTACTTGTGAGTAGTGGTGTGGAATAATTGATGTTGATTGATTTGAACTGACAATCCTTCTCATAAGTGACTGTGAGTTAGATATGAGTAATCAATCTAGCCGGGTACTTTTTTGGCACGTTAGCCCGTAACCTGCATGGAAGTCCTGACTTGCTGAGAGGCTTTCGATTAGAGTTAACCGATTGTCGTCTGTCACCCTTCGTTGCTGTTTGGTCAAATGAACTGGCTATTTCTGAAGATGACATATGAACAAACATAAATTGGCAAATCGGCTCTGTCGGGGTATGGGCTGGTTGGCACAGTGCTAACGTACACGCCTTCCATGTGATGGGTCGGGAGTTAAAATCCCGGATGGGACGGTGGGTGTGCATTACTGATGAGCTCTAATAAGAGAAAAACTCCAGTCTAGTGCCTGGTTGAATCGATGAACTGAGGATTGTTTGCGAAGGTGAAGTCCGATGAATGGTCAGTTCAACTTAATTTGGTTATACTTCATAAACTTGAAACTACGCTTTGAGTGCCAAATGCCTATGAGGTGTGCACTACTTTTAATACTTGGTTAATTCAATAAAGACAGTTCTTTCATCGTCTTCCCGGGGTAACGCCTGCCTTACGTGACAAATAACTATCCATTTTATCTATCATAAAAATGTTACCAAAAACTAAACTTTTGGTAGCGTTGTATGGAAATTCTTGCAATGAGAAGCACCTCGTGTATTTGATCTTTAATTTTGTTGATTTCAGGTTACGTAACTGATAAAACCAAACACTAGCTCGCTTTCATCCGGATTCTCGTCTCTGACAGCCTGGATAAAAAAACTGCAAAAGCATGAATTTAAACCGAGCAAGAGCTACTTGTGATAGTGGGTAAATTAGGTGCAAATATCCTCAGGATATTTTTCATACACGATAGTCACTTCTCAAAACCCGTGTAATACCGATTAAACTGCTCTAGTATACGTTAGACCTTTGAATCATTGTCCTGTTCACAGCACAGATACGTCTGCATGATTTGCTCTGTGGTGTTGATGACACTACAAAGTTTGTCCTCCAGACCATTTGTAACCCCCTAAGTCATCGTTTTGTTTCCTTTCTCTATCGTATTTTGTATTTGTATTTTTTGGCATTTCTATAAATATCTGTAAGCTTATGGGATTACGTTTCAGTTAAGAATGCGTAGCAGTCGTCACACCGCATAACATGTACAATTTCAAATAAATTGCAACATTGAGAATGTCACTCAAGTTTGATCTCTTAATACAAATTCCGACGTAATTCGCTAAGGACCTGTTCCTTATCGGTTGGGAGTCGGGCCAAGTGGAGTAAAAGAATGTTAGTACTAGAGGTTAGATGCCGAAATGAGGAGCGTGCGGATGGATCGGAGCAATAAGAGGGTAAAGCAAGATGCAGTGGATGAAGAGGGCCGTCTATATAATGTTACTGGCTAATTTAATACAGGAGTTAATGTGACCGATAATTGGTTCTGTGATTAGTAAATCCACGAAGACCAACGTTGAACGATTGATTATCCCTAAATCACGACAAATGGTTTTGATGTCTTGTTTTAAAAGGTAGAGGAGCATTACATGGGAGCAACAGAGTAGATTGAGGGAAAGGCATTGGTAAGAGAAAGAGGACAGAATTGACTGTGGAGTTCTGAATTGCCTAGCTCATAGAAGAGGCGCCTTAATTTGCCCATGCAGCTATAAATGTCTGGGCCACCGGCGATTACTGTCGATAGCGACAACTTGGTAGAGTTCACTCTACACGCACGGTTACAGTTAAGGACCTGTTGGAAATGAAAAGCGAGAAGAACTGAAGATGTACCCCAGGCACTTGGATGCTCTAACACTACGACCAGATTGGTTGGAAAACCGTTCTATGCGGAATCCATTTTAAGTGAATGAATCAAATTCAGAAGAGAAGGAAATTGGTTGGCACAACACATCGTCAGCATGCTCGTAGATGTGCACAGGGATTGTAACTGAAAGATCACTGATAAAAGCAGAAGAGAGATGGAAGCAGGATAGCACCCTAAGGCACACCGGAATTCTTAGCTAGAGGTTTCGATGTACTCCTGTCAAATTTGGTGCATTGAACCCTTTCTGTGCAGTTGTCTGAATGCCATGATAGCAACTGTCTTGGAGTGCCAATAGACTCAAGTGTGAATAGAAGGGTTGATCGAGAAACCATGAAGCTCAGACGAATAGTCAAGAAAAACAACGGACACGCTTGGTCTTATTGTTTAAGGATAAAATGGATTAGAGTAGATACGGCCTCCAGTACAGATCTGTTGGTTTATATGCAAATCGGGGATAAGTTGGTCATAGAGGACTGTGATTATTGACTACAGGTGGTTCAGGATGATCTTTTCAGTTCAATTGGGAGCTGCAGAGATCAGCACGATAGGACGAGACCAGTTTCAATTTCGAATTGTACAACCATTAACCATGTAGGACTAGACCGTTTCTCAAAAAACCGCTGAGGACGAGTATTTTGGATTTGAAATAATGGTAACTGGACTCCGAGAAAACAGACTCATTAACGAGGGATGTCATCATTCTGGTTACGAAAGCTTCTCCAAATTTGCGAAGCACCTAAGAGAGACCATCAGGGCCTGCAGCCAAGGATACCTTAGATCATCGGAGAAGCTTAAAGATTTCATTATTAAAAAAATCGAATTTATTGCACGGGAAGGAGAGAATCTGGCTTTCATTGTTCACGTATTTCAGAGACAAAAACACCCGATTCGCATTCAACTTACAGTTACTTATCATTAGTTTGTATGTAATGAGTTATGCTGATGTGGTCAGTCCACGTCGATATCACTTATCTCGAACCACAAATAACTGAGTCAGATTAGAATTCAATTTTAGCCTTGTAGGTTTGTGGCAAGATTATCCGAATATGCATGAAAGCCCTGTATTAGTGTAAGGCGTTCGAATAGGGTTAACATGTTTTCAGTAGTGTCTCCTTTTATTACTGTCAGGCATAAGTAGCCACGATTGAAGAAAACATACGAGCAAACATGAATTGGCAGTTCTGGTCAACCCCGATGAGAGAGCTGGTTTGCAGAAGCAGCAACAGGACCCGACGGGCTTCCTCCTCCCACTCTTTTCAAGATTGGGGGGGGGGGCGGCAATGACCTCGTAAATTCCATTACTGATTTAATGCGTAAAATCTGGTCACAAGGGCGCATTCAATCATCCTGATGCGAATCACTGATCGTTTCAATTTTTAAGAAGGAATCCCGCAACGACTGCGCAAACCACCCTGGAGTAAGTTTGATCCCAATATGCACCAAAGTATTAGCCTCTGTCGTACCTCGAAGTCTGACACCATTTAGGGAGATTAACATCCGCGAACAACCAGCAGGATTTGCACCAGGTCGCGGCTGTACCAACCAGATCTCCGCACTGCGTCAAGTCCTCGAACTACGCCATACACAACGTCGACCGACAGTTGTGTTCTTTAACCGAAAAGGAGCCTTCGACTCATTAGAACGCTAATCCCTTATGGTTTCACTCGTTGGCAAATGAGTGCCGCCGAAGTATGTGAACATACTGAGTTTACTCTACTCGCATTCTTCTGGTAGCGCAAGAGTCTATGGCGAGCTGAGCAGGTCGTTTGAAACTCGCAGCGTTGCTCGTTAAGGGTGCCCTATTCAATTTCGTGTAGACGAAATGTTAGAGAACGCACTTAGTGGTCTCCAAGATGTAAGTATTGAATGGGCGGCTGGAGAAAAGCTGTGCGATGGCATCGTTTGTCTGTTAGAATGTATGGGAGACGCACAAAGCGCACTTGACAGCCTAGCAAGTTCTTTTGCTCCGTTTGACACGCGCTTTGCAACTTCAAGGTGCAAAGTGATGCTGCAAGACCGGGTATCGCGGAGTTCTGAAATTAGACGGTCTATAATTACCTGAAGTTAACTGTTTCTCGTATTTTGGTAGCTGCGTGACCAACGCAGTAGCGAATCAAAGGAGATAACTGCCCGAATTTCCAAGGTTCAAGTAGCGTACACTGGACTTGNAACACCTGTGGTGGCGACGTGACGTTTCACTGAATTTTAAACGTCGCGTATGACCTCTCCACTGGGCGATCAGTTTTGCTTTACGGTTGTGAGACCTCGAATCTGCGGGTAGAAGACATCCGTCACCTAATGGTTTTCGACAATCGATGCTTACGGAGTTTGGCTCTGGTGGGATAGAGTGAACGAGTTAGCAACCTAGAAGTACGTCATCGGGTGTTTGGGAATGCAGCGAACACGAACTCGGTAGCACAACAAATTCAGCTCAGTAGGCTCCGTTTGTTAGGATACGTTTTGCTTATGTCTAGCGGTCGCCTACCGCAGTGCGCCTTAATTGCAAAAACAGCTGCAGATTGCAGAAAGCCTCGTGGAGGCCAGCAGATGATGTGGAGACGAGGCACGAAGAAGTGCACAGAGCGATTAGGTATAGTAGGTGTCTCTTGTCTTCCGGTTTGGGAGCCAAACGACTCCATAACAGGATGGTTGGAGACACTGAGGGTCATGACAGCAGATCGACAGCAGTGACCTTGCTGTCACTTCTTACCAGACAAGAATGCTTGAAAGTATGTGTATGCACAGTTGAACTGTGTACTCGATGTGTTACCCATAGAAGTTCGCTTTCTTTTCCCGTCCCTATAAATAGGCCCAATTCCTGCCCTCATTATGCATTCTCACTTTCCTTGTATGCATCATGCGTTTGGTAGCGATCAGTGAAGTTCACTAAACTGTGTTACGCTGTATGGGGATGATGATGTTTAGGATGGTCGATAGTCGGAGCCAGCTTCCAAAGGAAATAGTCGACTCCCAGACAATGCAGGCTTTTCAGACTGCACTTGATGACAGCCCATACGGAGAAAAGAGCAGAAAGAAAAATGAAGCATTGCGAACACAGTCAAAGAGAAGATAGAAAAGTCACATAGAATAAGGTTACAAGAATAATTAGTAGCTTCCCGAGTGCTTCTGTTTGCGACACGGCTGTTTTACAGTGTCTTTAACCACCGGTTATGATGATCCCTAGGCCTACATCCGGGAAGCCTATGTGACCGAGTCTCGTGGTTAGGGTTTTCATACCCTCATACCAGGTCTTAGTTTCACCACCCTTGGCTTTATTCCACCCACTAACTGCCTCGGCAAACATCGCTCTCCCTAGTAAACTATCTTGTGACATGCCTAACATATACCCCAACCAATTTAGTCAGTGTTCTAGTGGACAACTGTGGTTACCCAAAACTGCGCCTATCCGTTGCGTTGCTCGACCAGACTCGAGAGATGCTGCGTAGACAACGGTATTCGAACATCGACAGTCTATCTCTATCCTGTTTTATTAATGGCCAAGTTTGCTGAGCCGTATAACAAAACTGAACGAATTACCGCGGTATATACTCGATCCTTCACGGTCAGCCGGATGTAGCAACGGCGCCACAGTTGTCTCAAGTTGGGGAATTCCAACCGAGCCTTCTATATGCGAGCTGAGACTTCATCCATGATGCGTCCACCAGGTGAGATATAGGTGCCCAAATAACAAAACTTGACCACTTGCTCCATTTCTTCCCCGGTCAGAGTGCGGTTGGGAGCTGAAGCAACCCAGTCCTATAAGATTTGAATTTGCTCTCGACACTCCAATTCCCATTCTGCTCTTTTATCTAAACAGGCGGCCACAACACAGCAACCGAAACTAGCGTACGAAAGTGCATGGTTAATGGTTTTAAAAACAACTGAAAACGGAGTCCTATAGGAGCACGAACTCTAGTCGAACCGGCAACCTGAAGGATCAGAATACTAGAATTTGTCTGATATCTATCCTTTGAACTTTCGGCTATGGTAACTGTTTTCTGTTTGGCAAAAGCCTTCTTATGTAGCCTATTAAGTCAAGGATGTGCACATCATTCCGTCACACCATGTCCAGGTTCAGTCTCTTCGCGGTGGTTGCCAAGTCGTACTTATGTAATCTTAGGCTCACTTTGTTCATAACCGAACGATCATCAGTAATACCCGAGGGCGTGGTGGGTTTAGGCCTGCGAAGTATCTTCGCTGTACACCACAATAATCTGACGACTGTGTTGTGCAACCCTTCTAATAAATCCATCAATCTCTGGATCGCTCTCTGTTGCCATCAGTGCTTTTCAAAGGGTGCAAATGAATCTTACCAATCAGCCCAGATTATCTGGAGCAATCATGTTATCCTACCGGTTGTATTTGGCTATACAAAAGACAGAGGTTCAGCACATTCTTGTTTATTTTGTGTACATCATGAGCCTGGCGGCGATCGGCTCATCTCAATCTGTTTCTCTGTGCAAAGATGATCAGGATGATGCTGATGACACGGTGTCCAACTTAGAATAAAAAGGTTTGACAGTTCTGAGGCAGCACTGGTAATTCTATTCTCTGGAATACATGTTGATTATTGCTGGTCATTGAGCCGAATCATTCTCAAATAAGACAGTCTCGATAAAGCACAATTAGGTAGACCGATGGGTAATAAAAAGAGGGACTTATATAGTCGTTAACAGGGTCATCATTTTTCTGGATATGGCTCGGACATCCGAACCGTTAGTTTGATTCTCATGCTGTTACGGTCGATTGTGGACTCCTTTGTCTGATAATTCCTACCAAATTTTGTGCACGGTTTTAGTGCTAACCGTATGAATCAGATAAACAATAAGCGTACAGCTTTCTTTTCTAAGTGTAATACCTGCTTCCTGCTTACTCTGTCATTCATCATTTTCAGACGTTCAGTTCGACGTCATTTGACGTTCAGTCTGTGGACCGATCAACCCCGAGATCGGACGTGCAAGTGCTCAAAGCCGGGGATGGCTGCCTTTGTGTTTTTACCGTCTCGGAATGTGACGATCTGAATTCCCATTTCGAATTGTGCGCTATTTGTTCCGTTAGACTGACCGATACTCACCAGTCTTTATGCGCGGACGCGACTACTCCCATTACCGCTGGGGTACAATATCAGCTGTGTTTGGGACAGGCACCCGATCTAGCTCCGGGTATGGTAATCACTGCACAAAATCAAACCAAACACTCCTCCTTTCGATCCCTTTTGGAATGTGCTCTGATTGGATCTATACCTGGAGAAATAGTAACAGTCAAATACAAGAGGACTGGAGCTTCAACAGATCCGGATTCGGTGAGTACACAGATGGTCCTGGTGGTTTACTAAAGATAATTAAATATGCTGTGCTGTCCGCAGCGCTTCACTTTTGCGTACCATGTGTCTCCAGTGCGCACACCCCTGCATCTAGCATCGATGGGAACCTCACCCTATCACTTGGTCATGGACGATTACGTTGCGCTATCCGATTATCCGCGATTGACCGAGTCATCGTTCGGATCGACGGAACCACTCACGTCGATCTGCTTGATGCAGTGGGAACCGTCGATCCATTTACTGACTAAGTGTATCATCACGTTCTCATGTGACCTCATGCAAGCAACTTTCCCAACTAGTGCTTAAGTGGTGCGTAAAGTGTACAGTGGCTCACGCTGTGTTATCGAGGGAAACACCCAAGACTACTTGGTCAGTCAACCACCAAAGAGGACAGTACTCTCAAAAATAATGCAGCACGCTCACAGTACCCCGGTCGGAAGACAAAAAGACGAGCGAAAACTAGCAGAATTTTGTATACCGTATTCAATCCAAAGAGACATTCGAAATATGGTCCCAAATTTTCAAAATTTCGCATACTGTTCCTTGTAGGAAGTCTTATCTTATTGTGTTGTGTTCTAAAACCAGGCGCAGTTGGGCTATTCTGAAGTTCTTAGTCTTCCTTGGTAAGCGGTGTATTTGAAGTAGCTTCTAATGCACACTTCCGAAGGAATGAGAACCTGGAGGTGGAGAGATGGTCATTCTACTGACCCACGTTTTACAATTCCCCGACCCCAAAAGGTAAATAAACACATTGTTCTTGTTATTCAGATTAAGTTGATAACGATCAGGGAGTCATGAATTGGGTCAAACGAAAATGGTCATCATCCGCTAGAGCTCAATCTCTATGGTGAACCAACTTGCGGACCACACTTTAGCATGAATTTCTCACATTTTGCCTGTATCTTGGTTATGCCACAATGCAGCTACAATAAGTTCATCGTTTTGTTTTAACAAATCTACCAGGTATCATGGAGGAAACTTCCTTTCTACTGTATTTTTTTCGGGGGAAGGGAGGGATTGTTTCTCACCCCGTTCATTACAGGTGCCACTCGTGTAATTGTTTCGTCCGATAGCTGACAAATTGTTGAAAAACTCATTTGAAACACCAGACGGTACCAAATGTGATCGTCGGGGAATAGAAAAGCTTGACTCAGAAGTGGTCAAAGTGACTGTGCATTCTAGCATGTATGTGCACCCCGCGTAGTCTAACTTTAAAGGATGGCTTTCAAAGGTTGAATTTGTCAAGATGGACAGAAACATGGTCACCTCGATCTCCATCTGTTGCTCTTCGCTGTTTTTCCCTTATATTTACATCAGGTGCTCACTTTACCTTGTTAGACGGCCTCCATTGCATAAAACAGATCAACATGTTGAGTCGGTCAAGCATATTATTCCCTCGATTCGAACGATCGTTCGATGAGTCACCGAAACACGGATAGAGCAACGCAATTGGCTAAGACCAAATGCGATGATGCGCGCTTTGGCGACATGCGGTGCGCAATGAAGCCACTAGCACATGAATTTAGCAAGTCGCAGTGTAATTTGTAACAATGAAACGATGCACTTTGTCGATAGTATGTATGCCATTCAATCATTACGTTGGAATGATGTATTTGAAATTCTGCGAAGCGTTATTATGCATTACATAAGTTTGGTTCTTCTCCACTTTGCTTGAATCGGAGTGCATCTGTTCATCCCCCAACCATTGTACCTAGCCTGGCCAATTGGCACGCTCCCTAGTGGGTCAGTCATACTTGTTAGGGTGTTCCACGCCTAGTGAACAGTCTCTCTTCATTAGCGTAACTCACTCACTTCTCGCTTTCCGCGTTGTGCACGTATTTATCTATCTATCTAAGTTGGGGATTTTCAATGTAGGTGTTTTCCGTTTCGCTCCAAATCGATCGAATTGAACATCCGCCTCGATGTGCTCGACGGAACAATATATTGTCTGATCCGCAATGGTCAGATGAGGGGACCAGCGCGTTTACCGGAGGCAAGAAAGATCCACTTGAAAATCCGACCAATGACTGGAATCCGGAACTGACCGTGCACTGGGCCGTGCGTGCTTGGGCACTCAAAGAACGTGGAACATGGCTGGTCCAACGTCATACGGGCAAGCAGAAATGTTCCATATTGGTCTCTTCCGATTCGATTCGTAGTCCATGGTGCTCGGGGTTCGCCTGCTACTCGCGCGCATTGCAGTTGGTGACTTTGGCGCGTTTAGCTCAAGAGCGATGCTTTTCAGAACCGTCTGTGGATGACGCGGAGAAACGAACTGCGCGAACAAAGCCCGATTCAGGCCCGGTGGACTTAGATCGGTTNGTGCGGTCTCAGTCGTTGCTTGTATCCGCGTTCAACTCAGGGTTTCTTTCGGTTTGTACAACCTTTAGTCCTGCATTTTCTTGGGGCGGTTTTCATTTCTATCTTTTGGTTGCCCATTTGGATGCAGAATAAGGAAAAGGATAGGAAATTTGAAGGTAAAATCGAAGAGAAAATAGAGAATTTCAGTAGACTATGTTTGCAAAGAAATTGATGCGCTACTGTTTACGAACCCAGCCGTATCATTTAGTGTCTCTAATCGTTGATTACAATGATCCTGGGGTCCTCATTCAAGGAGCCTAGCGCGACCGATGTGACCGAGTTTCCTGGTTAGGATTTGCATATCCTCATGTCAGGTTTGAGTTTGACCACCCTTGACATTTCGCCGCCCCATACCTGCTTCGGCAAACATCGCGCGCCTTGGCAACTTATTTAGGATATACGCAACACATCACTTGCTCCAGTGGGCAACCGCGATGACCTAAAACTCGGGGTCTAACCTCATCATTGCTTGTCCGGTTGCCGCACCAGATTTGTGCGATGCAACGTAGACGCCGGTTTTCCAGCACCTGCAGTCCTTCTTTATCCTGTTTTGTTAATGGCCAATTTTCTGCACCGTATAGCAAAACTGGCCGAACTGCTGCAGCATACACTCGGCCCTTCATGGAAAGCCGCGAGAGCGCCACATATATATCAAGTTGGCAAATGCCAATCGAGCCTTCTGTATTGGAGCCGACACTGCATCCGCGATGCGTGAGATACAGCTGCCCAAATAACAAGACTTATTCACTTGCTGTACTACTTCTGCGGTTAATGCGAGGTTGGTAGTTGGACCAAACCAGTCTTGTAGCAACGTTTTGCACTTTGAAGGTGCAAAGCGTATACCGAACATGGCTAAGCTGGCAATCAAGCTGTCCCGAAATGCTCGCTAATTACCTGGATCCGTGTTGGGCTATTTGTTATACAATCAAAGATAGTCTCAAAACACTTGTTGGTATCGGTTCCATATCCGTTCTGAAATGTCTTTTGAGAGATTAAACGAAACAGGCGAGATTGTACTGCCTAATTAAGATTGAATGAAATAAATCAATACCTTGTACATTTCTTAACTATAGAAAGGTATCAGTGAAATATTTAGACGTTTTTCCCAACCGTACCCTCATTTGGTCTGACGTAGAGAGAAAGCCTTCTTTTATGCCCTCCGTCCAAAACTAGTATACAACCTACCTGAAATATGATTAAACAATGCGAAAATCGAACTAACTCACAGTTTAGTGACTCAATGGTTGCTGATATTCGTCAGAACCTGTCACTAATGTTTACTCAC